TGCCCCATATAGTTGATCGTAGATTTCTTGAATTGGAATTTATTTTTATTAAATTTAATATTGAGCGATTCAGCCCTTTTCATCACTTCTTTAAATGCAATATCATGTTCCTCTTCCGTTGACCCAGCAATAAGGATATCATCGAAATAAATAACGACATTAGGAATGTCTCCAAAATATTTGGTTAATAATTTTTGAAAGATCTCAGGAGCGCACACAATGCCAAAAGGTAATCTTAGAAACCTATAACTACCGAAGGGTGTGTGAAACCCCATTAACTTCGATGCTTCATGTGTAAGTCTACAATGCCAGAATCTATCTTTAATATCCAGCACTGTAAAAACGTTTTTTCTAGCTAGTTTAGGTTTAATCTCTTCGAATGAGGGTATGAGAAATAATTCTCTCCTAATGTTTTTATTTAAGTTCCTTGGATCAAGGCAGATTCTGATCGAATGGTCGTCCTTTTCCACAACAACTAAATTACTATACCATGCAACATCAGAGACATCATTAGATATTNTCCCTATACAACACTGTAATTTAATTCGTATTTTTCTGCACCATCATGCAACGCTGTTGGATTTTCTACCTGGCAAAGTCCTCATATTCTCCCTACTCATGCAACATCAGAGACATCATTAGATATTATATTAGAGATTAGCAAGGTTTCTAATTTCTTCTTTAAAGATGGTAAAATTTTATGCGGCAACCTCCTGGGAGGATCATTGGAAGGTACAGAATTAGGATTAACAAAAACATCAACTAGATCAGGAAAAGTTCCGAGACCTGTAAAGGAATTAGGAAAATTAATAAGCACTGCTGCTTCATCTTCGAAGGCTGAAACATAATCAATTTGTTGTTTAACAATGAGACCTAGATCAACGCAGGTTTTTAAACCTAAGAGAGGCACAGTGCCTGCTTTGGTTACAGTAAATAAAATTTTGTATAATACATTTTGATCAGGTAAACTGCAATTCAAAAGTACATTACCAAGTGTTTCGATTGGATTACCGCCGTATCCCAGAATGATCGATTTATTTGGTGTCTGCACATTATCCGCATTCTTGACCTTTTGAAAGATGTAGTTGGGTAGAATGTTGATTTCCGCACCTGTGTCCAGTTTGAAGTCAACGAAGCAGTTGTTCACACGAATGTTCTGCATCCAGAATTTGGCTGAACTACTTGGTGTATCGTTGATCGCATGGACTACTTGGGTATTGGTTGAATCCTGTGTGTGAGATGTGCTGGCGGTTGCTGACTCACTCAAATTCACCGACATTTCAGGAGAAACACTAGTTTTGTTTACAATACTTGGAGACATGGGCATCACAGAGCCCTGATCATCACAATTGACTAGAACGTTTTGCTTCACGGAGCAATAATTATCATTAATTACTAGAACATTTTGCTTCACCGAGCAATTAGAATTTAGTGGATTTTGCATGTCGGAGCATTTGTTTATTTCACTTAAGGAATTTGCTTCAGCGCAATTATTAAAAACACTTAAGGAATCATGCTTCTCGGAGCAATAATTAAAATTTCCTCTTATCGGGATGGGTTTTTCAGAGCAAAAATTGGAGACAAAGAACGGATTATGCTTCCTGGAGCTATCATCTATAACACTATTAGGGTTACGCTTTTCGGAGCTGTCATTCGGACAAATTACAGGTTGAAGCTTCTCGGAGCTAGGTAAGGAACGATCAACAACAATTTCATCGATTATTACAAAATCTTGTGCATCAATGTAATTGGCATAATTAGAATTAAACGGGATAGAGGCATTAATGGAAGATGATGCTAAATTTACTGTATCAGCTGAGCGCTGAGCAGGAGCACTAGAGGAAGGTTTAGAGCGCGTTTCACAGACACTTGCGAAGTGATTAAAGAACCCGCACCTTGAACATCTTTTGCGGAAGGCCGGACACTGACGAATAGGATGAAGTTGTCCGCAGTTTTTACAGTTGATCTCACTCACTTGCTGCAGATTTTGCAGATTTTGAATGGAGCCCTTAGGACATAAAAATTGCGGACGCCATAAATTAATGTAATGCAAAATGACTCAAAATGTAGTTTTCTTTGCTTATCGTAACGAGAAATTTACCCAAATGCACTTTGGCGACTTCTTTACATATTTTTAAGGCTAATCGTGTGCAATTTTTGAGAATAATTATCTTAGATGTAGCAAGGTTGGCAGCAAGTGCGGTTGGTGATAACCGTCAAAAGTTTGCAATGACCCCCCTCCCATCCACAAAAACCAGAACAAAGTACCGCCATTTTTGGGTTCTAAGCCTCTCCATGGGGCCCAGTGGCCATACTCTCTCAATATAGGTACTCTACTGCTCATGGCTCATAAAAATTACAACGGAAAACCTTCAACAATAGCACCTCAAAATATTGAGTTTACTTGAATTTTTGTTCCTTAGGCTTACATGAACTGTTAAGGAGGGATAAAAAAGTATCATAACTTCAATTTTACCCCTCTCCTGCCTCCATTTTGTGGGTTTTTTTACCTTATTCTAGCCCCCACTCCCCCAAAAAAAAGAAAAGAAGAAGAAGAAAAAATCTGTTGGGAATTTTCATTTCATCTCGGTGAAGGGGAATAATTCACGCTGGCAAGAGGTAGTAGAAAAATGAAGCCATTGCCTTTATAGATGAGTAAAAAATAGTAGATCTGAAAATAAAGTCCAAATAAGCTAATCATTTTTTAGTGTAGGAGGAAAGTCTTAAAGCAAACGAAATAGACTAAATACCTGGCTAATTCTAGTCGTGAAATTCCTGTTTACTCCACTATCTTGGAAATTTCCTTTTTTGTGGCCAGAGGAAAAATTACGAATCCTTTGCTCATCCCCATCAGTCCATTAAAAAAAAATTCGTCGAAAAAGCAGCGTGAGTTCTTATGAAAAGCAATTTAAAGACGATGGGGAAAATAAAAAAAAATTCTGAGGGAACATCTAAAGTGTAGGTATCATGCGTTACGGATGCTATACTTCAATAGAAATGCAGTCTAGAGGTGCTTAGAAACCACACAGTTTCTGAAGAAAAAGATTGTCAGCCCTCAAGAGTGGCACACAATATGGCGTTCAATGGAAAAAAGAGCGCAAATTCAAAATGCGCGCGGCTCGCACGCGGGAGCCGCTGAGCCAATGCGGATGGACGCGCGTAGACGAAACGAAAAGAAAATCCGAGCTCTCACACGGCATCCGTTGGGGATGTTGTGACCTTGACTTGGCGGCCAGCTGAAAGAGAAGTGATGAGCGGAGCGGAGTGCGAGAGGAGGGGCGACCGTTACGTCTCAGCGGTTGATATCTCTATCGCACTCATTGGCCTTATGGGCGAGGATTCAGGGATGGTGATAACGGCTTTATTTCCGCATTTTGAACCTCAATTTTTTTCCCTCATGTACCGCAAGTATGCTGCTACAACTTACACATCTTCATTTTTCATAATTACATTGCATAAAATAAAAAGAAGGGTTTGAATGACATAAATTTTAGCAGTGCGACGTGGTGGCGGTATCTTGCACTAGCCCCTGTCGAATCCCCTTAACTTAATAAAGGTGTGGTATTTTTAGAGGAAAAATACCGCATTTGAGTGCAGTTTCGAGATCAGCATCGAATGCTATATTTTTCCTCTTAAAAAACCACGCCTTTATCATGCCGAAATGTTTTGTCTTTGGTACATGAATTCTTCAGTCTCATGACAACGGAATTCCGATCTCAAAATCCGAAAAAAAAGACAAGTAGCTGAAATTCCGGAACGAATCGATGCGATACAGCGCACGTCGCTCCGACACAAAAAATGGCGACCGTCGAATCACCTTTAGATAACAGTTTCAGGTTTGTCACGTAAGTAAATCACCGAAGAAAAATGCGGCTCCTAGGCATGATGGATCCCAAAGCCGGATTTAGGGGAGGGCCGAGGGTGCATGGTGGCAAAGTTCGGGTTTTTTCCTGTAGAAAATGTGAGGGGAGAGACTCTGAGAAACAGAGGTTGGGGTAATGGGTATTATGGGCATTTCCCATCATTATGGTAGTAAGTATCCCAGCTACTTGTGTGAGAAAAAAATGAGGGCAAAACTATTTGAAGAAGATGACAATGGAGATGTTGCATGTGTGAGGAATTTGCGATTTGATTGTTGATTCGTATGTAAAAGTTTGCGAGAAACACGATGGTGCCGCTGGTTTTCTCTGAAATCAACTCCCAAGCTCAAAAAAAAGCTCTTAATTTGAGGCCAAAATGGAGGGGATATCCCACGCTATTCTGAGAGTCCACCTCTACATCAAGACAAACTCTCCATGCAAAGATAGGGAGCAAATACATTGACAGGGCTGCCATCTTATTTGGGGACTCTAAAACTGAAATCACGGCAACCCTGTCAATGTATTTGCTCTCTATCTTTGCATGGAGAGTTAGTCTTGATGTAGAGGTGGACTCTCAGGATAGCGTGGGATATCCCCTCCATTATGCCCTCAACTTGAGAGCTTTATTTGAGCTTGGAAGTTGATTCCAGAGAAAACCAGTGGCACCATTGTGTTTCTCACGAACTTTTACATGAGAATCAATAGTCAAAGTGCAAATTCCTCACACATGCAACATCTCCACTGGGTCAACTTGCGCAACATGTAGCAGTGTGGCACTGGCCTCTACTTCAATTCATTCTTTCTCCGGGTGAGTCACCTCAATTCTCTTTGAATATCAAGGGTGTTTTGGTCTCATGGACCAGATGTCAACCGATGATACATTTCACAGAAGAAATTATAATATTTTAGGATTTCAGAACAGGAAAATAAGAAAAACTTATACATACCTATACATGGTGTAAAAGTTCATCTGAAATATGAAGGCCAATTATTTCTATCTGCTGTGTCCTGCCAGCTTGTTTTTCTATATTTTTAGTTTATTCTCCTTGACGAGAACCAGTTGTAATGTTTGAACTGTTCACACCATGATTTGCATTTATTCCTATGCTCTATGCCTAATTCTACTATTTCGTTCTTCAGGGAACACTGAGAAAAGTCTCCTGAAGTTTACCATGCGCGATTCAGAAGTTGATTTTATCAATGTCACGATGTGGGGATCTCAGGATTTTATAGAAAATTTGAGCATGGAATTTTACATGGGAACTGTTGGTAAGTTTTTTGCTCACAACTGATAGTAATGATGCATACAAGAAGTGAATTGATAGTGTACCAAAAACATTGACGCCTAAAAGAACCTAGACTACGCACATGGCTCTTTTGATGAGACAATAGTCAGGTAACCTGGATTGTTGCACCAGCTGTGATGTGGTGGTGGTGGGCACAAACAACTACACGAATATAATGATGGAAATATGAGTGTATTGTTGGAAAATACAAGAACGGGAAAACGTACGGAAAGGAATACAATTCATCAATTTGATCATTCTCGAAGGGTTTGAAACTTTTCCTTAGAAATGAGGAATTTCTTTTTAAGGTTTGCCCTAATTCAGTATGAACTATATAAGATCTAGGAGGATATTTAAGTTTTTTAACAATTTGACCAGAGATCCATTTATTATCGCTTAAAACTAACACAGATTCATTAGCCGAAAAGTCTGCTTTTGACTTTGCTGATTTATCATGATAATATTTCATGTTATCCTGAGACTTTTGAATGGCATCTGATACATCAAGTGTTTCAGGCTTGAGTTTCTTGTAGCTAATCGGAATTTGAGTTCTAAGTCTTCTGCCCATAAGCAATTGAGCAGGTGAGGCATTTAAATCCAAAATTGGGGTGTTGTTACATAGGCTGTCCAAAAAGTACCGAGACTGGTTCTATAATTCAAAAACCAAGATAGCTAGAGGCTTGATCTTGGTTTCATCTGAAAGATCAACTCAATATCTATCGATTTGAGACCATAATCAAAACTTTCGGTCAAATATATCAAAAGTTACAACACTGTTTGTAGAAAAAATATCTGGACCCCCTACCGTTTTTTATGACTATTTTCTCTTGCCGGGAACACTCTCTAAATCATTGATGATCAGTGCACGGTTCTTTTGCAACTAATCATGGCAAAACCTAATTGATTTGGAAACACTGTCAAGCCGTCGTCGTCCGACTACGGATATAAGAGTTCAAAATTCCACGGGGAAAGAATGAACCATCGGTCAGCCACCCCTAAAAAATCCAGGAAATTTTCGGCAGTTGCTGACCATTCACAGTGCGTGCGTGGTCTACGCTGCAAATAGTGAGTGGTTTTGTTTCTGTGTTCGAAATTTTTAATACCACTGCTTTATCTCTTTCCATATAGGTATCAAAAATATCTAACACAGAAACAAAATCACTCACTATTTGCAGCGTAGACCACGCACGCAATGTGAATTGTCAGCAACTGCCGAAAATTTCCTGGATTTTTTAGGGGTGGCTAACCGATGGTTCATTCTTTCCCCGTGGAATTTTGAACTCTTATACCCGTAGTCGGACGACGACGGCTTGACAGTGTTTCCAAATCAATTAGATTTCGCCATGATTAGTTGCAAAAGAACCGTGCACTGATCATCAATAATTTAGAGAGTGTTCCCGGCAAGAGAAAATAGTCGTAAAAAACGGTAGGGGGTCCATATATTTTTTCTACAAACAGTGTTGTAACTTTTGAAATATTTGACCGAAAGTTTTGATTTTGGTCTCAATCGACAGATATTGAGTTGATCTTTTAAATAAGACCAAGATCAAGCCTCTAGCTATCTTGGTTTTTGAGTTATAGAACCAGTCTCGGTACTTTTTGGACAGCCTATGTATATTCTAACAGCGCATCAGCCAGCGGCACATTGGCTTCCAAGGATTTTTTAATTAAAGATTTAGCTCTTTTGACAGCATTTTCTGCCATACCATCAGATGGTGGGTATCTTGGACTAGAAGTAGTCATTACAAAATTAAATTCACTCGCGAAAGTTCTCATTTCTACCGAATTGAATGGATTATTATCACACACCACTTGGGCAGGAATACCATGATGTTTAAAAATGTTTCTCAGTACAGAAATAACCTCCTTTGCAGTTTTGTTTTTGATAACAATTACTTCCAGCCATTTTGAGTAATAGTCTGTGACTACTAAAAAGATCTTATTAGCTACTTCGCATATATCCATTCCAATCTTGTGAAATGGCAGATCAGGTATGTCATGAGGAATTAACGGTTCCTTAACATTTTTGCTTTGATATTTAGCACACATTTGACAACCTCGGACAAAATTTTCAATCGCCGTTCGAAACCCAGGCCAAAAAACAACTTGATTCGCTCTAGCAATAGTCTTATTGATTCCTAAGTGAGCTGTCCCATGCATTAATCGCACATAATTTTGCCTAAGTGACAAAGGAACTATTATTCGATTTTCCAGATAAATTATGCTGTCTTCAACAACAATATCATTTCTTAAAGCGTAATACGGTTTCAGCAACAGGTCTCTGCAGTTATTCTAACCATGTTGGTACAAATTTAAAATTTTATGTAAGACTGGATCCTTAATAGTTTCATCTCTTAATTTTAGTATTTTATAAGCGTGATAGCAAAATTAATTTCAAGGCAGTGAACTACCTCTGACATAGCTTGGTCGATTGGAACATCTGTTTGTTTGAAATTTCGCGACAAATAATCCGCAATAATCATATCTTTGCCTGGAACATATTTCACTGATATTTGGTAATTTATTAATTTAAGCATCAATCTTTGCAAACGATTGGACATGATTTTACCCAGTGGTTTCCTAAAGATATTTTCCAATGATTTATGGTCATTTTCTACCAGAATGTCATGCCCGTACACTAATCGATGAAATTTTTTAATCGCAAACACAATCGAAAGCAACTCTTTCTCAATCTGAGCATACCTGGTTTCCGCATCATTCAAGCTACGCGATGCAAAAGCAATTGGTTTCTTGGATTAAACAGGCTCCTAACCCAAATTGAGACGCATCACATTGTACCGTAATAGGCAAAGAAGGATCAAATGTAGCTAACTTTGAGATATTACAGACTGCAACTTTGATGTCTTCCAAACATTCTGAGTGCGCAGTTACCCAAACCCATTGAGCATCTTTCCTCAACAACCACCTCAGGGGAGCAGTCAAATCTGCTAAATTGGGAATGTATTCGCTGAGATAATTAACAAAGCCCAAAAGTTTTTGTAAGCCTTTTTTATTTTTAGGCGGTTGCAAATCCAAGATAGCTTGAATATGCTCATCGGAGGGCCGTATACCTTCTTCATCTATTACTTGCCCCATGTAATGAATCCTAGGTTGCCGAAATTGGTATTTCTTTATATTAAATTTAATATTAATTTTATCAGATTGCCTTAACACGCCCAACAAATTACTATCATGCTCTTCTACAGTCTTACCAAAAGTTACAATGTCATCACAGATGACTTCTACGCCGGGTAACGGACCGAAATATTTAGTGTTGAGCCTTTGGAGAGTCTCAGGCCCAATCGAGATCCCAAAGGGTAACCTTAAAAACGTGTATTCTCCCCATGGAGTTATAAAACCACTATACTTTGAAGAATCTTCCGTAAGTTTCACCTGATAAAACGCATCTTTCATATCTAACACCGTATAACATTTACCTCCTATTAATTTCTCTTTAATTTCTGCAAGTGTCGGCACATAACATGGGCGCCTGATAATAACTTTATTAAGTTCAAAAGGATCGAGACAAATACGAATAGACCCATCCCGTTTTTCAACGATGACTAAATCATTATACCTGTAAGGATTGAGCGGGTCAAAAAATACCAGAAAAAATGAGTGTAGCAAAAAAAATTATACGTTTCCGAGGGACCAAAGAATATGGGATGACGGCTCAAAAGTGGTGAAGAAACATGTGCTAGACCTAAAAGGTTGGAGGTGATTGTACCGAGAGAAAGAATGAAAGAATCGAAAAGAAAGAGAAAATGGAATAATATATGAGGGTTCAAGTGAGAGACTATTTTTTATTGATCAGAAGGATCCTGTCCTAGGTGTTTTTATTTTTACCAGGCTCAAAGTGAGCCGGCTACTACCATGGGTAGGAGACCTGAAGGGCCACCAGGCACGTAATGCGCCGGCTTCTGCTTTGCGCAGGAAAGTCAGAAGGACTTGAAATTTTAAATACTGCTCTGTGCTATTGCACTTACTTTTACTCCGGATTCATATGAATCGGCTTCTCCGGTAGGAGGATTTGATACAAACGTGAATTTAGTTCGAGATGTCTTGAAATTTTTCCTGGGTGAATTTAGATAGGACTGCCAAAAGTGGAATATTAAAGTTGATTTCGTGATGACTCTGAGAGATTAGCCGCTCCGATCGCTATAGATGAGTTGATTCAGCTTGCTCGCCAAATTCGCTCCTTGACCTTGCTCGAGGAACTTGATTCTTGACTTGGGTTCGGATTTCCTTTCAGGCTGCTGCTTGAACTTGGTCGAGTCTTCGTTTCCTAGGTCTTGATTAGCTTGCTTCGCTGCTTGGCTGGATCTGGAGACTGGGTGTTGATCGGACGGCGCATCACTTAGAAGTGAATTCATGGAGCGCAGCGTCCCAGTATTTATACCGGTCGCGTGAGAGAGCGTTGCCGCGAGCTTGGCTGTGATTGGTCGACGCGAGCGCGGTGTGAGAAATTGGCGGGAGTACCGCTATGCGAGTTTGAACTTCGCGGGAGCACCGCTAGGCGAGATTGAACTTGGCGGGCGCTGTGGAGACTAAGTTTTGGACGTTTTGAATTTCGCGCCCGCGCGCGGCTCGTGATTGGTGCGCTGCCTCGCGCTCATTCTGAGGCTGGGGCCAATGGAATTCAGCGGAGCTTTTTGCTCCCGGATTCATCACTGTGATTGGATTTCTAATGATTATTAATTTTGTTCGTCACTGTGATTGATTATTAATTTTGTTCGTCACTGTGATTGGATTTCTAATGATTATTATTTTGTAGGTGAAACCGAACAATACCAATCCACATTTTCCACATTTGTTGAAACTACCCCTAAATTCTCTAGTTCGTCTAGTTTACTTTTGACTCTTAGGTTTGAGTGGTTGACGTTCTGCAGGCCTCAGCACATGCTGTTCCTAGCGCCAGGGGGAACGGTCTTCTCCAGACGAGCCTGCGTGGGTCCGTTTATTGGAGTCCCTTAACGACCGCCC